CAGAACTGCTTTGAGGCGAAGAAATCTTGCAGACCATCAACCCAGAATACTCGATTCTGTTTTTTTTGGGCACAGTTAACGATTTAAGCTCAGGATCTGCATGATGGCCTAAAAATGTTAAAAAGTATACAAATTTCCTGATAATAACATGACTACCTGCTGACGCTTGGTCGACTCGGCACTGCTTGGGATTTGCGTCGAAATCGTGAGACCAAATAACTGTGATCGAAAGAAGCCCGCGCTTGGCTTGGACGACGAACGACCATCAAAGTTTGCTCCTCAGTCAGACCCAATCTTAAAATTTAATCAAACAGCACAAAAAGTCAATGGAATTTGGAGTATGAATAGTGCTTTTAAAGTTCTCACTTTTAAATTTACTTAATCAGTCTCGCATTAAAAAAGTTATATATAAGATAGGGGATGCGCCTTTTCACCTCTTACGAAATTATCAAGTATGCGGATGTGTGAAGCTCAGTACCGAGGAAAGTGTGTACAAAAATTTCCGAATACACGTATTTTATTACATATTGTTTCCCTAATTCACTAAAGATGAATATATTTTACATATAATACCCATAAATTACTGAAAGTTTACTCTGTCCTGCCTAAATATGGGAGGACGAAAAGAGAAGGGAAATGGGTTTGTAGACCGAAGAGAGGATAATTTTTCTTTGCTCGGGGACCGGTGTTTAGCTTTCAAGGGTGGTAAGACGCGAACACAGACACAGACACACACACACACAATCTTAAATGTGCAAAATCGCAAAAAAATTGGTACTTGGCATTAACAGCAGATCCGACCAAAGGCATTTCAGAAGAAGGAGGGGGCAAATTTCGACATCGCCAGAAGCGATCCGGTTGTACTTCCGGCACACGGTCGTAGTTGTCAGCGATACATAAACTTGTCTAAAACGTTCTTCCTGTATCAGTACGGCGGAGCAGTTCGTTTCATGTGTGGATGCGAATACTCACGTCTTGACAGGAAAGAAGACTAGTCTTGCCATTGAATACTTCTTGGAAGACTTTCGTTATCACCCATCTCAACCTCTGTTGCTATGCTTGAAAACCAACCGTACTTCCTGCTATTCGCTTGTCCAGTACCTAACGCCTCTGTTCGGCAAGCTACTAAGACCTACACATCCCAAGCGCCAAGCCCTGTATTTTTTGTCTGCTATTTGCATGCTTCATCACCAGTAAGCCATAAAAATATTTCGCTGCTCAGTCTGCGCAACCATCAACGCATCACGCTACAATGCAGTCCACCACACGTAACAAATCTCCGTAAATCATAAAAGTTTTTTTCTAATGAAAAATTACAGCAAGATTTTTGTCGATGAGATAATTGCATTCGAAATCATCGTCATCGGTTCCAAAGGGATTAAGCAGCGCCTGAGCCACCTTCAGCCATCCGATGAAAAATAGGAATTGTATCATAGTCATCACTGGCAGCACTAAGTCCGGCTGCAATTGTTACATGCTATAGTTCACTTCGTACTTCAGTTCACCACGTATCACTGCACTGCAGTGACTTTCATGTTTAACGAGCCTCTTTGCATTCACATTTTGGAAGAGAAGGAAGCGCGCTGAGAAAGCTCGAGTAGTAGGAGATGCAAAAAGCAGCCAATGCTGGTAAAACTGTCGATCGGTCCCTCTTCATGAGTTGCTTATAGGCAAATTGATGGCAAGTTTAAAAGCAAACACTTATAAGCAGACCGTCCCAACCGTGTTTTGAGAACGGAGGCTTTCTTTGAAAAAGGTTAGGGAATCGAAATACTCTTCCTCACATCTGCTCCCCAATTTTCAGTGACACGATGTAGTAGAAAATTAAACTCTTAAGAATTTAACGGCTTTCTAATTATTTTCCGTATTTCGTGGGTTTTACACCGGAATTTTCCACCAGACCATAAATAAGCCGACAAACCGCAGTATCTGCGCATCGCTTGATAAGTGACGCGCATGATGCGTTGGCACATAGCACTGCTGTTATGCCGTAAATTCCAGAGTTTGACTCCCTCGCTTCAACTGGTATTAGCGTGCTAGACCACTGCACCACTGGTTGAAGCACCTATAGTACATGTGCCTCCAAGCACACGCTCCGTATCTTTTGGCTGCTGCACATTGTACAGCACATCCTTTCAACAACTGCCGGCTTTTCTCGGGACTTTTCTAACACCGTGTACTAATACCAATTGATTGAGGGAGTCGAATCCTGGACTTACTGCACAACAGAAGCGTTATATGCCAACGTATCATGTGCGTCAGTTATTTTATCCGGTAATGCGCAGAGATAACAGTTTTTCGGATTACTTGTGGTCTAATGGAAAACTCCGACATAAAACGCACTAAATACGGGAAAATAATAAGGAAACCATTAAATTCAAAAGATTAAGAGCTTAGCTTCCTACTACATCGTATTATTGAAAATCAGTTCCGTTTTCGATTAATGCATCTCTCAATATCATCAATGTGTCACAATGCGGTTGTGCTTTTTTGAATTATTCGTCTCCAGACTAAATAAACGTATCATGAAGGCATTCCGGTTAATTCATTTCTTCCTCACTAACTTTTTTTTCGTCCATCGAATGCCAGCAAAGCGAGACACTTGTCCTATTCAGCTGAGTTTAACCAAACTTACTTCACTTTTGACGGGTCCGTCACTGCTGTTTGTTCCTCGATCGCTAACAATGAACTGTCGGCTGATAAGGCAAACGCCGAAATGCACATATACTGCCAGAAATACTGCCTGCATTTGTGCGACAGTTAGTGCCACCGGATATTCCACTCGGGAGCTTATTTGTTGGCCATTAAGAGGGGCTTATTGTCAATGCATTTACACTGGAGTGAACTATCAAACATTTCATTTGTGAAAAAAAGCGATGGTATCAAGTTTGCTTTTACAGCGCACCTGAAAACGCTCCAATCTGGCTGAAGTTTGGACCAATGGGACTAGCGTTTATAGTTCTACTCAGATTTGACGAGTGATTTAACAATATTAAATTAAAGACTACGGACAAAGACACAATATTTTTGAGCAAAGAGTGGAGATTGTCAGAAGTACCGCTTACAGCTCACTGTGCAAGTAGTAACAAAGACGCATACAAGCAACATAAAAAGACGCATAAATTTCAATTATTAACAAGGTGCGCTCTAAAAAATCTGTAAAATTCCGGTACAGCGGCAAAGTCATACCAAATAGAAACGTCATGGGAAAGTAAGAACTATTTTATAGGAAGAATAGACAAACTGATTGATGAAATGGCGTAAAATGTATCTGAAATAGATTTTGTGACAGCTAAGCTGATGATTTGCAAGAATATCCCACGTCAGCAATATTAATGCGATTGATATTAACGAGATTCTTTTACACCCTGATGCACCTATGCCATGGCCTTGGCATAGCTGTATATCAGTGACTGAGTTCAGACAAATACACATGAGAAGCTAAAACGCCGTAGAAAAGATTTTGGTTCAAGCAAAACAAATCTTGATAAAGGACACCGTGAATGTGTCGTATTTGCCAGAGCAAGGAATTCGTTTCTTAAAAGAGGACATTTAGTGCCAAAGTGCCAGTAAGAATGATACCTGTGAATAAACGAGTGGCAGAGGCACCCAGTCATAATTGCACAATAGCTGCAAACTGTACCGAAATCTGTTGATTTCCTGAAAATGTTATGTAGCCGATGTGTGATCCTGAAGGAAGAAGTACTTG